AGCTCACACACTCACGGACACAGTTACTGTACACACGCACTGCTCACACACTCACCGACACAGTTACAGTACACACACTGCACTGTGCCCACACAGCTCACACACTCTCTGACACAGTTACACACACACTGCTAACACACTCACCAACACAGTTACACACACGCTGACACAGTTACACACACACTGCACCCTGCTCACACAGCTCACAAATGAGCAGGAGAAGTGGAAAGATAGAAGATGCAGTATATAAAATAACCACCATTAATCTAATGAAGGCCTGTGATTCCCCATTAACAGCTTAATTGTCCATGACCAATGTTGAAGAAGCTGCTGTTAGATAGTGTTTCTTACTTCTAAAAAAATGACCAGATCTTTTCTGAAAATACTGTATTTTACCAAAAACAGGTTTTGGGTTACTAAGCAATGCAATTACAGTATTACATTGTATAGCAGAGAAATACAAATTGGTTGTGCACAATATTAGAGCACCAGTGGGAGAGGGTGTGCACTCGTTGGTCAGGCAGCTTCTGGCTTTTATATATTAACAATTCCTGCGGCATACCAGGTGCCTGTAGCCCTGCTGTGATGTCACTGAGCGCCCCATCTCTGCTCCAATTGGCTCTCATTCACCTGTTAGATGCTGTTGAGCTGGGAGAGAATCAAACAATGGGTGACTCTGACAAGTGTCAGGTTTTGGAGAAACGCGTCTCCTCACTCTTCCTGTGTGGGGGTAGTAACGAACTCTTAAACACTTAGCAACATCCAAATCAAAGAGGGGAGTATAATAAAATTGGCTAAAAAATACAAATCGCATAATGACATGATTGTTATTCAACAACACTACCCATGACATCCATTGTAACCTATTGCGTTGGTGAGGATCAAATTTGGTATTTAACGGGTGATGCCATCATACATATACTGTACCAACACAAATAACTGACAGCCCGTGTTTATACACACACACAGTGTATATAACTGTGTAGCAGTCTGACCCTTTGCAAGATTTACAAGCTGCAGGCAGTTATAGCTCTATATGCTTGCCTATGCTAACTCATGCAAAATAAAGTAATAAACTTCAAATGGCCAGCGCCTGGAGTCTCGCCAATACACCATTATCTGGAATTTCAGCACATTTCTGCATTGATTACGTGTGTGTTTAAAACTAAAACCATATATCGACTGATGCTCTTTAATGAATGAATTAATCACCCACATCACCATTCAATTTTCACACTTTCAGTTAGTTCCTTCACTCAGCTGGACAACACAGTCTAGCCTAAGTGCTTTGTACTGCTCTACAAACGTTGCCATTAGAATTAAGATGCTATTCTTCCCCAAATTTGCATCAAAGCCAGACATGCTGCTCACTTGACAAAACTGCTAGAAGAGGAGAGACCAAAAACTGCAATATGACTAATTAATCATATGGCCAGCAGGGGGCACAGTACAGAGGCACATCATCAGTTAAAACAATAAATGAAAAATTCATCTGCGGTATTGAGAACGTCCATGACATTCCACTGCTCAGCAGTTCAGGGTCAAAAAGAACTTAATTTCTTTCTTGACAAGATTTAAGGCTGCAGCGTGGAGGTCTTGGCTCTGTAAAAGCTGTGCAAGAGATCCTGTACTCCTGCCAGCTGCTTCCACTCTGAACAACTTTTCCAGACAATCTTTATAAAGCAGAATTGATCTCCGGCGTGCTGCAGTGGTTAGCAACTGGTCGGCTGGTGGCAGTCCAACTCTCATTGCAGCATGTAGGAGCTGTTTCGGGTTTTATGAAGGTTTACTAGCTAATACCAGGTAATTTGCCATTGTTACATGAAAGAATTTTGATAAAAAAAACCTGCATAAACAAACCTGCATACAAACAATGTAGACAAGAGCCTAAAGCATATTAATGATTAAACACATCCAACATTTGTCCATCCATTTTCTAACCATTTAATTCAATTCAGGGTTGTGGTGGACCCAAAGCCCATTCTGGCAAGCAACGGGCACAAAGCAGGATACACACTGGATGGGACACCAGTCCGTCACAGGGCACACACAGACACAAATGCCAGAGCCTGTTTTCCCACTAGCCAATTAGTTGGCTGTTTTTGGACTGTGAGACGAAACTGGAGCACCTGAAGGAAACTCACACGAACACAGAGGTAACATACAAACTAGATAGCACCCCACGTCTAGAATTGAACCCAGGGCCCCAATGCTGCAAGGCAGCAATGCTTGCCACTGTGTCACTGTGCAACCTTTCCTGTGTTCATTTTATGTCTTCATGTAAAGTGTTACATAGTGGAGTTTTTTCCAATCTAGTCATGGGTGGATCCTTCACTGAGATGTATAAATTGAGCCATAAATCCATGGAGGTGGGAAGATTCTGGGATACACATCACATTTAAAAGTCATTTTAATAAAAATAATAATTAGTCACTTAGGAAATGTTTTCATCTAGAGCCACAAAGAACAGCTACCGGAGTGAACTATGTATCAAAAGGTTCTGTTGCAGAGTAGTTTAAGATTTCAGTTTTCCATCTTCTCTGAAGGACAGAGCACAAAGTTCACTAACGTTCCTAGGGTTACACACAGCCCCACACAGTCATGGGCCAAAACGTGAGCCAGGAATTTCCAGATAATAGGGCCGTTTTCTCTAATCACCAGTGGGGAAAATGTCAACTTTTGCTCCTGACTAATTACCTGCAGGTGTTTTATCTAAAAATTGCAAGTGGATTGAGTTACCAAGCTCACTGTACTTGGCGAATCACTTTCTTTTGTAATTACAGGTTGGGCCATCTGTTACAATGCTCTGCCACCTAGTGGTAACATCTGGTCACAAACACTTGAAAGAGTTGTTCCTGCTCTCTGCTGTTCTTTTTAAATGCTCCTTTTCTGTGTTCCTCTGAGATTCAGGGTTCACTTTCCCTTTACACTGTAAGTACTGTAGGATGGCACTTAACAGTTGAAGGGGCAGAGCGTGTGGAAAACTGGAAAAATCAGACTTGCCGAGGTTAATATTCAAGCTTCCAGTTACAGTGATTTCTCTTTTTAGTTTCTTGAACACTCATTCGAAGTGGTACTGAAAATACTCCAGTGAGTTGAGGCCATATAAGTACTGTGTTTCAACACGTACTTGGGGAGCTGAACCATTTTAATTGTGACAAAATTTTCTTTCTGCTAATTTCAGAAATAGTGGTTGTGGTTATTTTTTAAAGCACTTGACGGCAAGCTTAAACAGAAAAACTCACTGCTGAGACTGGACCACAGCAGTCTGATTCTAACAGAAAGAAGGACACATATTCTTCATCACAGAAACTGAAAGTGTTTTATTGTTTTATAGTGTGTATAAAAGTCCCGTAGGGAATTGTTTTTAGAACTCTCGGTGACATTCCTGCCCCTTAAGGCTTTGTTGCAGAGACAGGGCCCAGGGATGTTCAGCTATTCATCCTCAGGTAAGATGGCATTGATCTTCCTCCTGAGAGAGGCAAACTCAAGGTCACCAACTGCCTGTGTGCAGCTGGAGATAATGGGAAACAGGACCCTCATTTCTGGACACCGATACCGGGATTGTTTTACAGTAAATAAGCAGAAAACTGTGGGCTGTAAGAAACAAGAGGATCTGAGATGGAACAGAGCAAATTGAGCTATCCCTTGGGGCCAAGGGAGATTGGGGGTGGGCAGTTTTAGAGCAGGGGGGTCAATAGACTCCTCTCAATACAGATGGAAATAGCTGTGCTGTCTTACAGCACCCCCCCCATATCACCTCACACACACCCTAATTGGCCTCCTTGTCCACAACACGAGTCAATAAAAACCTGACACTGTGTCTTGACCCACTCTCCCCCTCTCAGAAGAGACACCTGTGCTATCTATAGTATGGCATGAAAGAATTACATCTTGCTGCAGCAAAGTCAGCACTAATCTCTGTGTCGCCATTCCATAGACAGAAGTGAAAGACAGTCAATTGAGTTAGAATAGACTGCAGTAGATTATAGACATCAAACTGGAAATGTGCGGTCACTCAGGCAAAATGTAATGATCTTTTATCAAAGGAAAAATCCCCCCCATTCCCTGCACCTTATTGTGGACAGGGAGTTAGCTTATAGGACCTACTGGATTAAGATGTACAGTTTTTTTTGTTACTCCAGTACCTCAGTTTCCTCGTTGTTTTCCAAGACTATTCCTTGCAAAGAATAATTCCATGCTGAAAAACAGAAAGAAATAACACAATGTGTTACAGCTGAAGAAGGCTCAATGGGCAAGGAGTTTCATTTCTTCTTTCTGTTTTTCTTCATGGAATTAACCTGGACTTTTTGCCTTGAGGCCACAGGCTGACACACAGTTGTCCAACTTCAGAACTCAGAACAACAGTTTGCCCTTCTTTCATCTGGTCTTTCATAAACAAGGCGAGAACTCATCAAAAACAGACTGATGATCGTATGTTGGAAATAATACTTTTCTTATATAAGACATCCCGGAAGGAATGGTCAGCATGCACAGGGACAAAACGTACTGCTAGCAGTTTCATCCCATATTTTAACTCTGTAGGTTTGGGATGACTGTGAGAGACCTTCATCTTAGTGGTGGTCAAGGTTTAATAGTCCTCATTCTCTTTTTAATCTTCAGAATTTGATCAGGACAGGATGTTGTATGATTTCGTTGCTGCTCTCATCTCTCATCCAGTGTGCTGGGATGGACGTCACACAGGTCCAGCCACTGCTCTGCCACTCTCCTCCGGGGCAGCAGGGCATTGTGGGAGACGGGATGCTCAGTGCTGCCCTCTCTTGCCACTTCCCAGAAGAACTTGCCCTTGAAAAGAAACAGGGTGTGGTGGGTATAGGAGTAGTAGGCAGCATCCAGGTTCCCTGCAATAATAATAATCATCATCATTTACACTTATATACTGTAGCTCTTTTCTGGACACTCAACTCAGACAAAATGTGTCAGTCCACTCACCAGACACTAGCTATCAGTGGGGAGGAAAACAGAGTGATGAAGCCAGTTTAGAGATAGGGATTGTTAGGAGGCCATGATTGGTAAAGGCCAGGTGGAAATTTGCTCAGGACACCAGGGTTACACCCCTGCTCTTTTTGAGAATTATCCCGGGATTTATCCTGGGAGAGAGTCAGGACCTTGGTTTTACATCTCACCCAAGAGATGGTGCCTTATTAACTGTGTAGTGCCCCGTCATTAGGGCATTAGGACTCACACAGACTGTGGGGTGAGCACCCCCTGCTGGTCCCACTAAAGAGTTGAGAACACATATCCCCGCAAGATTGGACTGTACACATCACAATAAGCAAAGAATGACTTGTCTTTGATCAGGCTCCAACAACCGGGACGCCTGGCTATTTTCAGGTTCATGTTTAATGTAAATGATGTGAGTTCTTAACCAAAGTGAAAATGAAAGAGGAATTTTCATAACACATGCTGCAAAAAATTTACTCCACATTGGGCAGCAGGCAAGAGCCAGTAGGCTACTGTCCCAAAGCCCTCCAGCTAGAAAACTCTGAAACTGCTTAAAGCGCTGGGCAGTGGAAATCTGAATCAGATTTCGTAGGTGTCATGGCAATCAGTTGCATGAATAAATTCTAATAACAGTGGTGGAGAGACAGGTTACCTGTGGGGTGATCCTCCTGGATGGATGCAGGAAACACTTCCTCCAGTCTCTTCGGAAAGCCAGGCAGAGTCTGGTTACTGGACACACCAAACGCCAGCACCTGAAACAGATCAGAAACAGAGTGAGAGGAGAGAGGGTAAAGCATTCCATCATCAGGTGTGGAGTAGCAGGTGATGTATAGAGCACTGGGAAGCCTCCTGGAACTGAAGAACCAGAGTTAGGGACCTCGGCCTTATTCTGGTTGTGTGAAGGCCAGGCCATTCAAGGTTAAGGACAGCGTTAGAGCAAATTAAAGCTTTATAACAGCAGCTAATTTCAAACCCAGTACCTGATGATTTACTTTCCTCTACATAGAAGACAGTGTTAAACAAGAACATCAAGTTGAGGTTTGTGCTTAGCTTGAAAGTTTGAACTGTATTCAATTCTCCATATACTGTAAACCAGTTACAATTACTATCATTACATTACTTTCAAAGTGTACAGGGCAGCTTTAACAATATATATATATATTTATAGAGCCTCACACTGTCAGGATATTTGCCAAAACAAACTAGCAACAAACAAGAACATTTCATGGACTAAAAGGCTTTGGCAGTTTATTTTGATCTGGCTACCTCTGTCCACTCATATTCAAAAATATGATTAGCAATAGAGAGATACAAATGGAGGTGGATGCGCAGAAACTTAAAAAGGCATTTCTTTACATAAAGAAGGATTTGCAAATTATGCTATACATTAATATGCAGGTATGGTATAATTGACTAATGTCGTTACCACTGTACTATATAGTTTATATTTGGCAGCTACCATTTCAATGATTAACTATCTTTGAGTTTTACAAATACTGTATTTGACTAACTCTGAGTTTGTAAGCAACTTCTTTCATTTACGGTAGCCATATATATTTTAAAATTTCATAAAAGGTTATCTTACTGTATTCTAACATGACAACATGCTTGGTTTAGCAAATTTGCATTCATTACTCTCTGTCCAGGCAGTGACTTTAAACACCTGTTGTTTTTAGAAATGTGCCAGATATGTGGAGACAAATAAAACGTCTATCTGCTTTGCATCAGCAAGGTCATTTTGCTTGAGAAAAGATAATTGCTGCTTTTTTCTATCATGGTATGGAACAGAGTGGGAGAAGGGTAGCTGACTGATTTTGCCTATCTGTAGATATTAAGTGTTCAGCAGTATTTGTTTCAAACGACGATTTGATGTCTGAAGGTAGGGTTTTCTGCCCGCAGTTTAAAAACATACCAGTAGGTTAATGGAATCAAACCAGGTGTGAGAGTGTGCGTGTTTGTGTGTGTTTCTCTGCCCTGTGATGGACTAACGTCCTGTCCAGGGTGTATCCTGCCTTGTGCTTGTGGTTTGCCGGGACAGGCTCCGGCTCCCCTGTGACCCAGAATTGGAAGAAAAGGTTATGAAATGGATGGATGGGTAGCGTTTTCTGTGAGAGGTGGTACAGTATTCCTTCATCAGTGCTGCTTCGAGAGGAAATTAGTCAAACCTGCTTCACCTGGCCAGAGAGAAGAAAGGAACCCCTGAGACATATCCCATGTTGTACACTGTATCAGCTGGGCAGTTGGTCATAATTATGGCCAGCAGCCATATCACTCTGCAACTCACAACTGGCAAGCCACTGAAGCTAAGCAGGTGTGAGCCTGGTCCCTGGTCCCATGGACCCTGCAGTCCATGTGGATCCTAATGCCCCAGTATAGTGATGGGGACACTATACTGTAAACAGGTGCCGTCCTTCGGATGAGACGTAAAACCGAGGTCCTAACTCTCTGTGGTCATTAAAAATCACAGGGCGTTTCTTGAAAAGAGTAGGGGTGTAACCCCGGCGTCCTGGCCAAATTTCCCATTGTCCCTTACCAATCATGGCCTCCTAATAAACCCCATCTATGAATTGGCTTCATTACTCTCTGCTCTCCTCCCCACTAATAGCTGATGTGTGGTGAGAATTCTGGCACACTATGGCTGCCGTTGCATCACCCAGGTGGATGCTGCACATTGGTGGTGGTGGAGGGGAGACCCCATTACCTGTAAAGTGCTTTGAGTGGAGTGTCCAGAAAAGCGCTATATAAGTGTAAGCAATTATTATTATTATTATTATTATTATTATTAGCAGCAGACCCACAGACAATTCAGACTTTCTGAATAACTCGCCAAGCCAGCCAACTAATAGCCTCACTCTCTGCCTCGGTGACCTCACCTCTATCAGTTGAAACCACTCTACAGTATGTTTTGCGAATGGTTAAATTTCAGTGTGAGTATACTTCCAACATACTCAAATATATAAGCTTCAGAGTCAACATATAGTACTTGTAATGACTAATTTTGGATGTATTTAACAAGCTTCAAATTTAGGTGTCCATCAGCCTAAAGGTTTTATATGGTAGGCTTGCTGTCTTTTGAACTGAGCAATAACTTTTAAATCATTACTAGTGCTTAAAAAGTCAGAGAGTGCAAAGCAATTATAATGGTTGGTACATGATTAGAAATCTGCTTCTTTATTGGAGCTGACTACGAAAAAGGTTTAATTAACCAAATTACTATTTCAAGCAAGGGTTCATATCTATCTAGACACCTTTAAATACATTGCATTTTGACAAAACTGCTTCCAAAAAGTTCGACAAAAAAAAAGATAACTTATGATTCACAGTAGTTTTAGCAGGAAAATCAAAAAACGTATTAAAGAGAGGAGAATTTAAGCAACTGTTTATTGGACTCAATCTCAGATCACTGCTCTTCCTTAATTGAACTAATAAAGCACTTAATTAGACATCTGTCCTCACTTCCAACACTTCCAACATTTAGAACTGTTTCAGTTCCATCTCTGTGAGAGATTTCATATTACCCACATGAGTGCTGAAAGTGACTTGAAATCTGCACCATTTTAGGAGAAAAAAACAAAGAACAAAGTCTGAGTGAGTATTTTCTTCAATTAACAGTTCAATTAAGAAAGGAAGGACTCAGCGCTAATCGAATCCAGCAGAAAGGCCTCCTGCAGCTTACACTTAGTATAATAAAAAGATCTGTGGAAATGTTATAGGGACTCTCGAACTAGCCTCGGCGGGGGCTCTGACAGCCTCTTCTCCTGTGATTGTAGCATTCATCAGTGACAAACTGAATTTTCACAGAGTCCTGGCAGCTCTGCTTGACTGGGCGGTGAGCAGGGAAGACTCTATCAGGAGCACTGAAGCGTGACGCAGGACACAGAGGGCAAGATAACACAACAGCGGCTGTTTGTTATCGGAAAAGCTTCAACTTGTTAGGGAATTCCTTCACTGATCCTGCATCGCCCGCTCAGATCATGGTGATTTTTCGAAGGTTCCTGTATCTATTCCTGTCCATGCAGAAAAAAAAGGTGGAACTAGGAGGAGAGTACCTGATCACATAAGGTGCATTATGTATGTTTAGGATATAAGTATTTATATACACAGAGACAACATGCTGCATCAACAACACAGCAAATGAGTATTGGAACTTAACCCTCTCAGAATATATAATAATAATTAATAATTGCTTACACTTATATAGCGCTTTTCTGTACACTCACTCAAAGCGCTTTACAGGTAATGGGGTCTCCCCTCCACCACCACCAGTGTGCAGCCCCACCTGGATGATGGGACAGCAGCCATAGTGCACCAGAACGCTCCCCACACACCAGCTATCCGTGGGGAGGAGAGCAGAGTAATGTAGCCAATTCAGAGATGGGGATTATTAGGAGGCCATGATTGGTAAGGGCCAATGGGAAATGTGGCCAGGACACCGGGGTTACACCCCTACTCTTTTCAAGAAACAGTCTTGGATGTTTTAATGACCACAGAAAGTCAGGACCTCGGTTTTACGTCTCATCCGAAGGATGGTGCCTGTTTGCATTATAGTGTCCCCATCACTATACTGGGGCATTAGGACCCACATGGGCCACAAGGTAAGCTGGCCTCACTAACACAGCAACCTTAGTTTTTCCCCCAGGAGGTCTCCCATCCAGGTACTGACCAAGCTCACACCCGCTTAGCTTCAGTGGGCTGCCAGCTGTGGGTTGCAGGGTGATATGGCTGCTGGCTAGGGTGATATGGCTGCTGGCTTTATATACTTTATATGCAGTATAAAGTATGCACATAGTATATGGATATACTATATATAAATAATTTGCATGTACTGTACAAATATATATTTTTCACACAGTATACTGAGAGGCATTAAAGATGCAACAATACTCTTTTGTGGTGTTCTTAATTGAACTCAGTATACTGTATGTGAAAAAAGTATAAACTCCCATTGCTCAGCAGTAACATCCATTTCAGCTTCACAGCAGACACCCTGGCCCTTGTGTACTAGAGCTGACGATCGCTGGATCCTACTGACCTCCTGGCCCTTGAAGAAGTAAATGCAGCCTTCCCGTCTCAGGAACACGGCAGCGTCAATGGGGCCGGAGACGCCAGGGAAACCCTCCGAGATCCGACAGGGATACCGCTGACCCTCGGGATCTTGGGTAAAAACCCGGTCTGTCGAACTGTCGTATCGCCAGAACTGAGTACCTGCCAGCAGAGAGAAATCCCAGTGGATCTATTATATTTAAACCCAAACTACAGAACGTGCCCAGAATGTGCTGTAATTATCACAAGGAACCATGCAAATACAGTAACACCCCTAGGAATATCTCAACTTCCGCGTTCTGTAACCCAGGGACTCCCAGTCTTTGTCCTGCATGCCTGCACGCCTGGTGGTTTTCATTCCAGCCCAGCTTAGTGACATAATTGAACTAAATAGCTGCTTTAATGGTGACCATTTGAAAGTCATTTTTCTACTCAAAAGTTTGTTTTTTTCTATTGCGTATGAAATTCACTAGTTAAAAGGCTAGAAACAGTCAAACAGTTCAAATTCATCCTGGTATCAGATTAATCAAGGGGTCAGTTGTCTAACTGGAACAAAAACCAGCAGGTGGGTGGGCCTCCATGACCTCTTAAACGACAACTGTACTCTTTGCTTAGGTTAAGGATTCTTATTGCTTTTAACAGTACACCAACAGTGGTGTGGTGGAGCAGTGGTTAGCATTGCAGCCTCACCCTGATGGGACCCTGGGTTCAATTCTGGAGCTGGGGTGGCATCTGTGTGGAGTTTGCATGTTCTCCCCATGTTAGAATGTTAGTTCCTCTGGTTGCTCCTGTTTCCTCCCACAGCCCAAAAATGTACTGGTAGGCTAATTGCCTTCTTGGAAAATAGGCCCTGGTGTGAGTGTATGTGTCTGTGTGTGCCCTGTGATGGACTGGCGTCCTGTCCAGGTTGTACCCTGCCTTGTGACCAGCGCTTGCCAGGTTAGACTCCAGCTCCCCCCTGTGAACCCTGTACTGAATAAGCTGATAAGAAAATGGATACATCGATGAATAATACACAACCTTAAACGACTTGAAAGCAAGAAAAGAACTAAGCCATAGCATTCTACAAAGCAGTGAGAAGCATTAAAAAAATCACAGGATCATTAGCTATCCAGAAAACAGAAGGATTGTGTGGGTATACTTCAGGAGCAGCAGTTTACCCCTGTTCCTGACCCGGCTCCTAGACAGCTAAGAGCCCAGCTCTCAGTGACACAACCTAGGCAGTTACCAGCTTGATAATGAAGATCCTGATTCATTAGTGAATCACTGCAGAGGCTGATAAAGCCTGAATCATATCAAATCTACATCTGGTTTACCGTTTTGAATGGGATGTGTAAGTGGCTCGAGATACCTTTAAAAAAGAATCTGGCGTCGATTTGGGGTGTCCAGACGTGTACAAAGGCGTCAACTCCACCCTCCGGCAACCCCCGCCAGCCAGCGGTCAACCTCCGCGGGTCGCCAAGGCGAGGACGGCTGTGGCGGTTCTCGTACAGCCAGTACTGCCCACCTCGGAAGAAGAAGGTGTTGAACCGCAATACTGGCTCCCCCTTCTGGCTGCTCTGTCTCCTCACCCAATCGAACACGGTGTCAAATGGGTCCTCACACTGTCCTGAGAGCAGGAGAGGGAGAGAAATATTGAAAACTGAAAACTATTCCCCAGAGTACACTTACATCATGAATAAACAAGGAATATGACCAAAAATAAGGAAGCTGGAACAAAAGGATTGAGTATTTTGACTAAAAGACCTAAAAAGTAAACATCTGCAATCTAGAGCTCACCATACAGCTCCTGAATGGCTCTCCTATCATGCCAGCTCAGCTCCACAGTGCCCCCAGTGGTGGGGTAGAAGGGATGCATCACAGAGCCAGGGTAAAGCAGATGGGGCAGGCCAAGCACATGTCCTATCTCATGAACAGCCACCTGTAGCACATATTGACACATTGGAAAATTCAGAGGGAAACTGACTGGACCTATCAATGCTCTGTGATTTGGATGTTACCTGCAGAAGGCCGACCCCCTGGTCTGATGGGGAGGTGTTGTAAGGCTCATCATCATCCAAGTGGATTTCACCAGGCAGCAGGGTGTGTGCCAACTCCCCTCCTAGCCCGTCAAATGCCCATGGGCATCCCAGGTGACGTCCTAGACAACACACACAAGCTTAACACCATTCACACAAAGTGAAAACACTGATATTTTGCAAAGAGCAAAAGAGCTCATCATTGATGCATGCAGAAGAACATTTGACCACAATTCAATAGCAGTTGGATCTTGTGAGCAACAGCCTCTAAATGTAAATCAACAGCAGAGGTCAAGTTGATCAAATATCTCCCCTTATTTTGAGACAAAGTGCATAGTTAAAGCAATACCAGATCTGCTTGCAGTCTCATCCATTCGTACTCAACTAGTGCTATTTCTAATGCATGAAAAGGACCAAAGTATGGTGTAACCAGACTCTGATTTGTATGACAATTGTCTGACAATACCTGCACTACAGAATGAAAATTTGAAATACACAAGAGCTAAAGGATTTAGCTTTTGTTGACAGCTACTAAATTTCATCTGACATGGGCACAAGCCATGGATTCGATAGATCTGGCACAGAATTCACAAGCGGGCCCGCAGGGTTTCTGAGATGGGAAGAATAGCTCTTACCTGTGCCAAAGCCCACCCAGATATCGATCTCTGCCATGGGACAGGTGAGGTCCTCCTGGAAAGAGAGAGGTGCCACCTCACTCCAGCGCCGGAATGCCAGTCGAAGCTCTCTTCTCTGCTCCTCTTTGGTCAGGTGATCGCTGTGCCCTTCGGCCATCAAGCGCCACTTCAGCCTTTGCTGGGCGAAGCCCAGTCCCGGCATGGGACCCAGGGAGCCCTCACTACCCCGGGACCGTCTGAATCGGCGGAGCACAGAGCTTGTTGTCCTCTTCCCAGCCTCTCTCACCTGGATCCAAGGATCTCTCAGTGGATCCGAGGAATCAAGGATAGCAGAAGCTGCGCCTGAGCCTTGGAGCCACGGGGCTCTGTTGGTCGGAGAGGGTGCTGGGATTGAAAGTTGCCCATCCCTTGAGAAAACTCTTTTCTCTCCAGTGTGTGGGGCGGCTGCTGCCCAAGAATGAGCCAAGATGAAATCTTCTTGACCAAGAATCCTCCTTGGTCTCAGCTGTAACAATGACTTGGCTCCGTGGATAAGTGCTTGTCTCAATCCCAGAGGCTGTGAGAAGTCTGTTGCAGGGTCCAATAGCGCTCCCTTGTGGTTCAACCAAGGAACAGCCAAAAGGTTATTTGGAGGCTGTGGCCTGGAAAACAATTCTGTCACTCGGTAGCTGAGAAGGTGTTTCTGAAATTAAAAAGTGATTGAATAAAAATAGTTTGAAATATAGTTTTCCATGGCAAATATTCATAAACTACAGTATTTTCAACAGTTCATGTTTCATGAACAGGACATATAGTGTCCTGATATTCTGTCTGATTGTGTATTTTACTGCCTATTGTACCTAAAAAATACCACTTTGGGAAAAAAAGACCAACAAAAATACAGAAACAATTTGCCAGTGGGTGAAATGAGTTATCCTAGATGGCTCTGTACTTGAGCTCCAATCAAAATTGAAAAACCTTGGGGTTATATTCGATTCTGGCTTAACATTCGACCCACATGTACAGCAAACTGTCAAAACATCTTTTTTTCACCTTAGAAATATCGCAAGACTACGCCCTATGCTATCATTAACTGTGGCTGAAAAGCTGATCAACATATTTGTATTCTCTCGAATTGACTACTGCAATGCTCTGCTCCCTGGGGTATCTAAATCTACTCTGAACAAGCTGCAGTATGTCCAAAATTCAGCAGCCAGAATCCTGACCAGATCTAGTGCAAGTGTTCACATTACTCCTATCCTGGAGTCCTTGCACTGGCTTCCGGTCAAATTCCGTGTAGACTTTAAAATCCTCATGCTCACCTACAAGGCTTTACATGGCTTGGCACCTCAATACCTGTCTGAACTTTTATCGCCCTACTCCCCACCTCGCAACCTCCGCTCTTCAAATTCTGCCCTCCTTACTGTCCCCCAAGCCCGTCTACATTGTATGGGCGACAGGGCCTTCTCCTGCTATGCCCCCAAGCTCTGGAACTCCTTGCCCAAGGATATTAGAGAGTCACCTTCTCTAAACTCCTTCAAATCCAGACTCAAAACCCTCCTTTTCAGAAAAGCCTTTACTTAACTGGTTCCATTCTTCACCCCTCTGCTCTTCTTAATACCATCTTCCACGGTCTCCTCTATTGTTATTGTTGTATTGTTGTAATTATAATTGTGTCCTGTCTTGTGAAATTTTCTTATTTATTGTTGTAGTCTTCTTATTTATTGTTATTGTCATCCTGTAAAGCGCTTTGAGAAGCCACCTTTAAAGGCGCTATATAAAATAAAGTTTATTATTATTATTATTATTATTATCCTCTGCTTGTAAAGCTTGAAATTCTTTGGGATAAAAAATTGCTTCACAAGTGCAATGGTTACTTATATACAAAACTCATTGCCCAAGCTCTTAAAATACTGCCAGCTTTTTCAAAACACGCTTTAAAGCTTCTCTTTTTACTAAAGTTTTTAAATGTGTAACTTGGTCTTACTCTCTGTGTCACTATGGCAATTTGCTACACTTTAGTTCTTTCAATGTCTTATTGATGGTTAATTATTGCATGGTCTGCTGCACATTGTGCTTCATGGAAAGTGCTCATAAATAAAACTGTATGATAATCATTGTTTTCTAATACATAGTACTATTCATCCATCATTCATAACCAGTCCTGGCGGAGTACACCCTGGACAGGACTGCAAGACAAGCACACAGATACAGCCGGACTTTGAAAGCTGACCAGAGAAAACTCAAAGAGAACATGTAATCTCCGCACAGAAGGTACCATAGCCCAGAAACAAACTACTGTACATTATAACCTTATCTGAAGACTTAGCAAGCTTTTGAAATGACACAGCAAATTCTGTAAATAAGCAGGTGTCTTAGTTTAAAATGACGATGCAGCTGTGTGCAACTAAAAGTGGTCTTACCATAGCTCTCTGAGTGCCAGAGTGAGGAGTAGTAGTCCTGTACTGCTCTGTGACACAGCGCCCCCTACTGGGGTTGTGGCAGGTAACGGCCAGGATGACCAATGCTGTGGGAATAGCTGGATGCATCTCTCAACCAACGAAGCTCCACGCTCACACTCGAACCACAGACATGCCCCACGCAGCAGGCGAGGCTGAGTTTTATGTCCTGGCATCCTGGCAATGCCAACCCCTGCACACCTGTGCCTGCTGCCATGCCACGGGCAAAACAGCTGCTGCCCGCACAGGCCCAGTGGAGGGCACGAGAAACAGATCCTCCAAAAAGCCATACCAGTGTAATTCTCCGCCCCGGCAGGCAAGGTTCATTTTATTAAAGCTTGTTTTATTGCTTGGTTGGGATGGTGGGGGGAGTGGGCTTAAGCGTGTCTAATGGGCAATCATCTCCAGCAGCATCTAACAGTGTCTTCTGTCTCAGGCAATCTAGTGAAATCTGTAAGCACAGTGCTTGCTAAGCAGAGCTTGACACATAACTGCTGCATTTTCACATTTGCTGATTTATTGATCGGGGGAATGCTCCAACACCTGGAGAAGTTCTAAAGCCCTGCTTTATGAAATAAAGCCGTCAGTAGTTTAGAAACAGGACACGCTGTATAGAAGGTGGTGAGGAGTTTGGGGGAGAACAGTATATACTGTAGAGCTGTGTGTGCTTGGATTGAGGAGTAATTAAATAGGGAGTACACAGAAGGGGTGAATGGTCAAATGTACTGTAATTAGTGGAGTGCCACAGGGGTCTGTAGTAGGCCCACTGTTCTTCCTAATTAATATCAGATGACAATAACATAGGAGGAATAACACATACTGTAGATGTTAAAATAAAAAATTGATAAAATATAACACTGGACAAAGAGCAAATGTTATTTAATGTACAGTATACAAGTGAAAAGTATTACATGCAGGTATAAAAAACTACAAAATGGGAAATGCTTAGCTTGAAAAGGCTACTTATGAAAAAAGACATCATTTGCATCTTGTTGACAGTTGAGCAGCAGTCAAAAAGAAAACATATTGTTAGAATATACTGCTCAATGTAAATTAGGAGTCACATTAAATTTGTACAATATGTACACTAGTCATATCTTATTTAGATCTCAATCTTATCGAAAAGATGGACTGGACTCCAGAGAAGAACAACCAGATACATTCTGGGGCTCAGAGTAATGTCCTACAGGCTGACAGAACCCACATTTTTTAGTTCTGAACAGAGAAGACTACAAGGGGAACTGATATGGGTATTCAAAATCTTTAAAGGGATTGATAAAGTCAACCTAGTGGACCTTCCACAATGAGTACAGAAGGAGAAACTGTGTGGATGTGGATTTAAAACTGAGAAGAAGAGTATTGAACAAGTTACAGGATGTGACAATTTTGTTGAAGCCTGAAAGAATGCTTGCTTCTTTCAAGAAAGGTCTGGATGTAACCTTTCTTATGTTCATTTTCTCATTTACTCTTGTGCAAGTTTTTGACTCCCAGGGTCTCTAAATGGATAGGGGTTGCCATTACTAAGACTTGTGCAACCAAAAGGTGGCAAATATTTGAAGAATATCAGCATGTGCAGGCTGTAAAGGAACAGATAAAGGTTTATTCCATTCTGAAAGGAAAAGAGGCACAACATTTCGGTTACCACCCAAATAAGGCTCCAAAGACGAAACGTGTGTCATTTATTCCTTTCAACATTTTTCCTTTTCATTTTTCTGAAAAGGTAATGTAAAAGGAGTACATAGACGATTTTTAAAGCCACTCTGGATTCTTATGCATTGGTCTGGAACAGTACCAGTTCCACTTTTGAAACATGTAACATAGATTAACCAGCAGTCTGTCCTGTTTGCAAAACATACATACAGCAACTCAATTACACACAAGGTGACTGAGCAGGCATTAATGTAGATACAGATAAAACCATCATACCACTGCCAAAGGAATGGCAGGAGTGCATGCCCACTTACAGACCAGGGTCACACCTGATTTTGGCCCATGGTTCAGGAGAAAGGGAAAAGCATAAGACCACATAGCTCACTGACCACTTTATGCCAAGAGGATGTCCTTCTTGAGCCCAGTGGGAGTTGCACACTAGGTTTGTCTGGATTTCACTGTGCCCCCACACCAGAACAGCACAGTTGCCCTGGATTGTAATGTACAATTCATATGGCTATTTCCTGAAAAAATTAAGAGGACAAGTGGGCCTATGGAGAAGGAAAAGAGCTAGTTAGTGGGATGATCTCTGTTCCAGTTCCAGGCTCTACTGCTGCCTCCCCTATTGTGTCTGGGTTACTGAACCTCCTGGGCTCATTCTGTCCTTTGGATGAGATGCAAATTCAAGGCCTTGTCATATTGAATGAAGAAACAGCAGTTTTTTTATGCATAATTCACTAACTTAAACACTTTTAGTTACTTTGGATAGTTATACCAAGAAAATGACTATTATTAAAATGACCCACTTAAAGCATACATCTTGTCTTTGAGAAATCAGTGTATTTCATAACCATCTTAAGTCGCATGTTAGGATCCACCAGTAATTAAACAGGGAACGCAATAAGGCTCCAGCAGACAGCAGTTTCAGACATCTCAGGATTTACTAGATAAAGGCTCTTGTACAAAGCAGGTATGATACAGTATCTTTAAAAAAAATCTGCTGTCTCCGGTGCATAGAGGTTCTGTTGCTGTAATCCCACATGTAAAGACTTAACTGCTGATTTCAAATTGGGTGGTAATAAATTAAAGAAATAACCAGAAATTCCAATGGAAGAAAAAAAACAATTCAGAGTATTCGTTTATAAAATTCTAAGAAGAAATGTATCAATAACACATACCCTGCATCTTGATATATAAAAAAAACTTGTATAAAATCTTGTAAAACCTTAAATGGCTCAGAACGTTGTGCCATTCCTGCTTATCTCTTGATTTTGGTCAGATTGTCATCAGAAAGAAAAACATGATGGAGATCAGTCCTGCTTCATAGAGACTGTCTGGACCAAGACAGGTGTTCTTCTCTTCACTAGTCAAAAGCAATCAGAGAAAAAGCAGGTGGCTTTCATGCAGGAGTTCATGTAAACTTTTAACACAGGCAAGGTGTCCATATCCTACAGCTTTATAGCTCAAACAAGAACAAAGCGATTCTGCACCAGCAGTAGTTGATGCAAAGTTAGTCTCCTTGTCTCTGTATATTACTTTAGATTTAAGTGTTCACTGGTTAATACTATTGCATGTATATGGCAGGTACTGTATAACCAAGGTACTGCATATGCTTTTTTCTGAGAAAAAAAAGGAGGTAAACTGCTCTTCCACAAACGTGGACTCCCAAATGTCCACAAGAGGTCATCACTGAGACAACCTGCTCTCTAGTTTGGAGGCTTCACTGGAAACCCTAAACTGAAAGGGACTATAGTAGGCTGGATAAATTGTTAACTCTGAATTACATGGAATGACTATAAATTACTTGAAGAAAGCTCACTTTGTAACTGTGTCAGTTACCCATCAGGAATTCCTGGACTGCACACGAGTCTACGTTCATGTGAAAAAGTATCTCTCATAAATCTGAAATAAACAATTTATGCTCCTCCAAGCTTTGCCCCTCTGAGACAATAATGAAATATTCTAGGAGTGACAGTTCGATTGATTTTAACTCAGTACCAAGTCTTTGTCCTATTATTGTACCTACAGTGGTATAATGGATGTTTAGACAAGAAAATTCTTTGATAGCCCCTCACTTTACTGCATTGATAATTCAACTTTCTACTAGAAAGTTAAAAAAGGCAAATCAGCACAGAATCATATCCTCCAATAGACAGTTGAAATCATAACCTGCTCAGTCTATAGAAAAACAATGTCATCAGATTTTATATTTCTAAAGGCTCCTTTTGTCCAACTAAAGTATTCAGGCACAGCACCAGGAAGTAGACAATAAACAATTCAATCTCTGTGAACACAAAACAATAAACATTTATGCCTAGGCAGATAAGAATCCGCTCCCTACTGCTGAAACTAGTTTTGAAAACTAGGGGAGGGCAGGCCTAGTCCAAGTGAGCCCGAGATCTGGAGCCTTTCACTAAAGGGTCATTCTTCCATTGATGGTCCCTAAAGGAAAATTTGTGTTTTGAGCAGTTAAGCCCCGCTTGTAAGCAGGGCACATGTTCAATAAAGTCAATTGAAGGTTGTTTAAGCCTTCGAGCCCCTGTCACCAGCCATTCAGAGCTGTGCCTTACCCATGCCTCATCTAAACCAAATGTATTACATTTGTTAATTTGTTAAATTAGACCAAAACTCAGATTTGTGGCGTTTGTGAAAATGGTTAGAAAGCCTGGTCTTGGAACAGATCGCTGTGAAGAGACGGAATGCTGGTTTAATAATAATAATAATTGCTTAGACTTATATGGCGCTTTTCTGGACACTCCACTCAAAGCGCTTTACAAGTAATGGGGACTCCCCTCCACCACCACCAATGTGCAGCATCCACTTGGTTTAGTAAGAATTTTGTGAAAATGGATGATTGGGGGGGGGGTTAGTTTTAACTGTAAACCTGTATTGGTCTGAGGGCTCCTCAGGTTTGAATAAAACTGAATAAAACCATCCTGCAGTGTATTAAGTCTTTTTTTCGTGCCAAGGCAGAGAGCGTTTAGGGAAGAAGCCTCCCCTGGGCACTGGTGAATCACTGAAGGGAGGTGGCCGAGATTTCCACATCCTGCCCACTCTCCCAGATTACCTCCCCCCAGGGCTCTGCTCTCCACAGCAACAAGGACTCCCCAGGAGGGCTGTATCAGCAGAGCTGAGCCCTTGGAGACGGGCGCGAGATACCTTTCTGAGCCCAACTCCCATTTCACAGCGTGCAGGTTACTGCCAGATATAAAAAGATGCAGATCTGACAAGAAAGGTAACATAGACAATTGCAAAGTTACAAAAATGTGTGGTTTTACACAGCACTTTGGAAAACTGCACTTTGGCAGAGTTTGAATTAAAAAGGCAGCAATTTCTGTTCTCCCAAAGCTAGACAGAGAAGTCTATGAGGGGATCTGATCTGAGCATCCAAAATCCTCAAAGCAACTAACAAAGTCTACCCAGCGGACGTCTGTGCGCTTGAGTGCACAAGTGGAAACTGCATCAAAGCACATTTATAACTGCGAACAGGAGGCATTTCCTTATGCAGAGGGTTGTGGGAGCATGGAGCGAGCTATCCAGCCATTTTGTTGAAACCACTACTCTGGATTCTATGAAGAAATGGCTGGATGAGATCATTGGATCAATTAACTACTAACCAGGCTATGAGCTACTAAGCAGGCCAGAGGGACTGAACAGCCTCCTCTCATTTGTAACCTTTCTTCTGTTCTCAATTCATATCCCAGGAATAAGTGGTGAGTAAGTGTAAGGGGCTGTTTACTTACCAGCATGTGGTGGTCTGAGGATCATGAACGATGCTCAGGAACAAAAGGCACATTTGCTTGACAGATCAGAGTCACACTTACAAACAGCTGCAGAGGGCTCCAGACAGGGGTATGAGGGCCTGGGATGACATAAAAAAAATTACATCACCTCTATCACTAGAGAATTCACTATGATGCCGTTCCAAAAAATCCTAGATTAAACCTCTTTTTTCTACCATTCGCCCTTACAGGTTTTGCAAGATCTTGCAGGTGTCACGATAAAAAATAACAGATTCTTACCACCCACATAACTACAGGGTTCAGAGTAAATGAGAGCTTTGTTATGAATTTCAGGGCCATTCTGAGAGTCTGTAACTTTGTGTCAATCCAGGATCTAGGCTGTTTCCCACCCACATAGCCGACAGCCAGCGGTGTGCATGGTGCATGGTGAAAAGAGTTTAAGTAGTCTCACCTTTGACCTGGACGGAAGCTTTCCATTTCCACACGCTGTCTGTATTATTGTTCACAATAGCATAACGTTATAAATCCTTTTCTTGATTAAACATCCTTTTCCCCTGACTTCAAAATATTTTTTCCCCGATCATTGAAAATCAACACCAAGAATCGAATGTTTATTTGTGGGGTGAAAGTAGTCACTTAAGGATAGATAGCACTTTAAATTGAACTTTAAATCCGTTGACAATTAGAAGGAAATTGAGCACAAAGAAATGAAGATAGGATACCCATTCTTATAATGTTTTAAAGCAATTTATTTTATAAAGAAGGGTCTGTATAAAACTAATGAATCTACGAACGGGTCAGAAAATTCACAAAGCACATCTCTACTTCAATGCTTCAACCTGAAACCTGAAAAAAAAACATGTATATTCCTCGATATTTTAGCATGTTTGTTTTTTTTTATTAAGGATCTATCTTTTTACTAGTCCGCGGACTATTCTTGTTTTGACAACCGAACGTTAATTTTTTACCGGGCATGAAGTTTAAATCTGGGCAGCGTTTTCGTGTTATTTCTGAAATTGAAAATAGCATTAATAAAATAAGGCAGAAATGCAGATCAATTACACACTGTTATCACTTTCCTGGATTGGTTAATCCTTCCTAAAGACAGATTACTGTACTAATATATTTTTGTTCATCCATCACAAATATCTCTCACAAAATCCTCATTACTGAAGACGACACAACGTAAAACAGAAATGTCAGCATCCAAGATAAAAACTGCTCTCCTGCGATGATCTGTTAACACAGGCCGTTGCTTCTTGAGTGTAAAATCATTTCCAACATTGTTATTATCTCAGAAGAGTATAACTGGAACTCAAAATGTAGCAGATACACACTTAGATTTTCGTTTATAGAATGCAGTGACACATTTCTGTCTCTCTCTTTTATAAATGTATCGGTTCTAAACTTTTTTTCTCAAAACATACTGTACCTATTTTGTTGCACAATTGTAAAAATGCGGTCGTCACCTCAAAAGGGGAAGTTTGCCTATCATCAGTATTGAAGTAAAGGCAGGGGATAAGGAAAGGTGGTGATAAAGGGAGTGTCATTGTTCCATGAGAAAAGCTTTTCACTCAAATTCGACTTAACGTTTCTATTAACGTTCAAAAGCAAAACAAACGAGATACACTGTAATCTCCCTTGCTCTTACTGTACGGCTTTGTTTCTCATTAAAACAAAAGCCGGGCTTTTGTTCGGCCGGGCTCAATCACTTCGCTCCCCAGCCCCTTACCCCTCCCCCTTACACTGGGTTAGTCATCATGGCGGAACTGTAATGTCCTGGGCGAGAAACTTGTACCCTCCAGTTGGAGTTCATTTATTTTATTTATTCATGAATTTTCCCGTCTTTTCCCTGAAATGACTCGCTGGATTCCCACCAAGAAAGAGAAATACGGAGTTGGTAAGCGACGAGTTTGTTTCACGTTTGCCGTGCCCTGTGTTCCGCGAAGATTTGCAACTTGGCAAATGCATAACCTACAGTACCTGTCCCGGCTCATTTACGGCACTGTAAGAGCTTCTGTGTCTAAAGTTTTGAAGTGAAGTTTTAAAGTATTATCTGTGTGTCTGGAATACGAGCGCATATTTAAATGCGTGCTCGTCCGCTTGCTTTGCTGTGGCGATATACGAGCTAGGTAAATAAGGGGGGTTCCACCTTGGAAGAATTTCTTCTGGTTGGCATTTCCACCTACCGGCGTATGTGGTTGGGATTTACTTGAAAACTGACGTTAAGTGTTTAAATTAGTATCTCTGTACTTGGCAGTGCTCGCTGTCTCTACACATTATGTACAGTGAGTCCCATTTGTTAGGAAGACCTGTACTCCCACAGTTAGCGTGCTCAAAACATACTGCCTGCACGGTACACGTAAAACTGTCTGTTCGGAGCGACTTTTTTAAAGCGCACCTCAACTTTCCAGTTTACTGTCCCAAATGTATGACAGGGGAGCAGAGATACGGTACTGTCAAAGGTGCTGAGGCTAGGAAAGTGAACTTTTGACTTATTCTGCGGAGCCTGAAGTATGAAACCCAAGTTTCGCGTTGCGCCGCCGAAGAACTGTGCCGAAACGTTTGGTGGATTTCATTCCCTAACAACTTCAGTCCGGAGGGGCAGCATTGATTGTGCACCGGAGTGGGAATTCAGTGGGAAAGTGATGTTAGGAATTTGCACGGGATTCCAATGCAAGTAAAAACACTCCAGGCGTTATTCCAGTTCGGGCTGTTGTTGGTATACCGCGGTCGGCTACCCAGTCATTCGGCTCTGGGCTGCGGGCCACGGCAGCTGTTGGGGATTCTCTGCAATTTCCGGGGAGTGAAGGTGGAAAATCAAAGCCATTTCGTATCGCTTACTTTATCAGTCTCGGCACTTATTTAATTAGGTGTTCGCGTAAGGAAGAATGCAAGAAGAAAAATGAATGGACCTTTATCTCCACTCCCACAGATCATCCAGTAGAAATTGACTACAGGACTGGCATAATTAAAGGCTTTATACGTTTTCGACCTCACCTGAACTAGGGAATTGAACCCATGTATATAACAACTAATAGATCGCCAGGCACGCCTCAGAGTGATATATTCTGTTGTAGAAATGACGAATAATTGGTGCTTTGATGTTTTTCATTACGAAATACATTCTTAATAAAAACGATGCAAGAACCGACAGGATGAGATCCTCCAACCGGTTACTAGTAAACAAGAGTTAGAGGATTTCACATCATTTGCTACGTTCTTATAATCCACATTTATCATTAAAAAGGACCAAAGAAATACCAAGGAAACCGTGTTTTAACAACTCCCCTTAACGTCCATTTCGACAATAAACGTTTAGGTAAGGTTATTTTAGAGATCTGATTGCTATTTCTTCATATTATTTTAATGAGTTTATGTCTGCTACTGTTCAGCCGTGGCGTCTTACTGCCAGATCCCTTAAATAATAGGTAAAAAAAGCGCTTTTGCAGTTCCCAAGTTGTAATTAACTTAACACCTGTGGAGCTCGCAATGGGCTACATTTTGGCGTTCCACCAACCCTCAAAACCAATAGCCACGCATACTTGAGGAGAAACTCTTCATGGTAAGAGTGTTTTCTTTCAGCCCCCCACAGCTCTCCTAAGTGTCCGCGCCAGTTCAAAAACACAAAAACAGAACTGCACTGCGTGCTCTTCCCTTGCAAGGCTGAAAAGCAGAACGGTAGTTTTGCATACGCTGTATTTATAGCGACTGTAGTGTTATTTATTGCGAATGATCGTTTTTTTTATTTAGCCTGCCTTGCACATTTCTTAATTCACTTTTTGTTTTCACACTCTGGTCCTGCTTTATTATTTTATGTCACGTTAACAAGTTAATATAGTGGCTTTGCAGCTTATGCAGTTCCTAGCTCTGGTCCGCAGGAGCGCCTCCACTGCTGGCCTTGGTTCTTGCTGAGCTTGCCAGTTACTTAATTGAACTGGTAACCCAGTTAAGGAACTCCCTTTAATTGATCTCAGCTCTGAAACGAGATCGAGCTAGTCCGTTTTCTAGGTAGCTTTGAAATCTCCTGTGTTTGTGTAGTTGAAAACCCCTTTGTTTACTCCGTTTTATTTCTGCAGTATATTTATTCATGTCAAATTTCAGTTATTTACCTCATGTAAACAGAGTTGAGTGGTGGGGCGGGAGGGTGACAGCAACTGGGTCTGCGTAGGCACTCTTTCAATCTGGGTGGTCCGAAATTGGTTCTGGAGGGCAGGTGTGCCTGTAGGGATTCATTCCAGCTCTGCTCTTAATGAACTAAATTACGTTCTCCTTGGTTTAATTGCATCCATTTACCAGTTTTCCCCTGTACTTCGGATGCTGCTGCTGCTTTGAAAAAACCTAGAGAAGCTGCAGACGCACCTTGCTTTAATACAGAGCAGCAGTCTCAGTGCCTGGTTCTGTGGTTTTGGAGAGTCCCAGCCCTACAGGGACACATTGATGTCTTGTTTTTTTTCCTTTGAAACTTGAGACAGTGGGCAAAGATGACATTAATGTTAGGAAATTTGGGGTCTCCTGAGCTACACCTGTGAAGGCTTTCCCTGAGTACAAGTTGAGCTCTGTAGTTGCAGGTTCGAGCCTGGCGTATGTTACTGAAGGAACTGGGATTCCCCCAATGGGTCAACAAGTAAGCCTGCCTTAAAATGTCTTTCTGTCCCTTCCCTTAGTAAAAAACAACAACCTCAAGATGAGCCCATTAATGATGAGGTGTTCATTTGTTGTTTTCCGACAGCAAAGGATGTGTTAAAGAAAGGCAATTCAGATTAGCTGTCGGAGCCTACATCAGGCTCAGTGTGGAATGAGCACTATTTTAATTAAGTCTCACTTCAAAGCAATGCTGGGTTTAAAGTCCTTCCTTTTAATTTCCCACTGGATGCATTTCAGAAAGTCTTTACTGCAAGCTGCCAATACCAGGCAAGGCTTTCTGCTTAACCTATTGATCTGGTAGCCATCGAAACTATTAACTTGCTGTTATTCATTTGCTCTTGGTTTGTCTACCTGTATTCTTCAATTGTGCATTTCATCTCCATTAAGTAAATTAAACTCCCAGCTTTCATAAGAGTACTCTTGCAGACAAGGGGTGATGTTGGGGAGTGATTCTCTTATCCTCCAATTAGGGCTGTGCTGCCGGTGACATGTTTAAATGTCACTGACTCAAACGTCAGTGAAGCTGACCCCCCTACAAACATCACAGATTCCCAATGTATTTGTATGTGTGGGCGGGCCTATCATTCCACATTCTCCCCATGTGCGGTCACAGGGTTCATGGACACAAGCTGAGACTTGAAAAGCCCACAACTGTCTATTCCAGATCGGATAGGTATAGTAGGTGATTCTAAATGGAAAACAAAATCTCTAATTAAGGCAGTGAATAGTTAATTTAAGTAAGAGCTTGGTTGAAATGAAAACTGCAACACCCTTAAGTTTAGAGGTGTCCAGCTCCAGTCCCAGAGACCCACATTCCTGCTGGTGTCCGGTTTGTCTCATCTTAGTTGTTTAAGACACAGCCGACTGAACAAGTAATTAGTTCAAGTAAGAAGCCGAGTAAGAAGTAAGAAGCCAGATCGGATGAAAACTGAAACCACCTGATGGTCACAAACACTTCAGTGTTTTTGTTCTGGTCAGTTAGGCCTGTGTTGGCCTGTGTTGGCCAGCTGCAGACCTTAAGGTTTTCTTTTCATCAGTTGGCTGCTTTACTCCCAGGTCTTTTTAAACCATTGAGGCGATAAAAGAACTAGGCAATCAGCTGGATTTTGCTGACCTCTTCAGATGCAGGATAGAAGACTGCAGTCGTGCTCGTGGATGTCTGATATTTTGGGGTGTCAGATCCTGGGTCTGGTGGGCTGTGGTGTTCTCTTACTTCCGTTGTACTCCCAAGCATGCTTCGCACATAATTAAAAATATTTCATTTTCCACCCCATGGACCTTTGCATTTTCGGATTTTTGTAAAAGGTGTGCTGAGTTCAAAGAACAGGATATCCAAGATATCCCGAAGCCTGCAGTGATGTGTTTTAATAGATTCATTTAATAATTCGGGCTATTTAGGTCAATTAAAAATCCAAATCAGAGCCTGAATTAAATCGAGATTCATCAATGAAAAATTCTAAGCCCTGTATCTGGTTGCAGTTTTTGTTATTGCAGCAGTTATCCAGCATGTTTCAGGAGATTTCATGCAAAATAAGACACTGGGGGTGTAACTACTAAATTTTGTAGTTAGGTGGAAATTTTGATTCAGTCCTGAACTTTGATCACTGAATGTGCTGGGCCTCCACAGGTAGCAAGAACAACTTGAACAGGATGCTTCATGCATTCTGCAAGACGTTCAGACGTCTGCAGTCTGCTCCCATCCCGTTAATCTAATGGGATTGCTTGTAGTTGAAATTGTGATGAGGGTAACATTGTTTGGGATTTAACTACATGTTCCAGCTGTAACACTGGATCTCAGTAGGACTGAGATCTGACCAGGCAAGGTGATGTAGGGCTGTATTATTTTTCTTAGACTACAGTGATGACTTGCTGAGGGAGTCTATTTTGACTGAGGCTTCAGGTTGTGCCTGTGCAGTGGGTGTGGTGTAAATGTGGTGTGGACTGTTACAAATCCCTCATAATTGTGAGGAGGAGAGGGAGCAAGGGAATGTGTTGTTCAGTGTGCCAGTAACATACCAGATCTGCTTTGTGCATGCCAGTGTACACAATTTCATCCCAAAAATGTAACTTCTTTTAACAAGGAAAAAAATAGCAATCCATTTTGTACTCCATGTCTACTCCACGCAGGTTTATTTGTAGAACAAAAACACAAAAAGCATGTTTTCCTCAGTCTTGAGTACTAGACCTTTTTGGTTGATGCCAAAACATATAAGAAAAAATGTGTTTGAAATGGAAGAACAAGCATGGTTCTCT